CCTAGTGACCTATTTCCTGTAGACACACCCTTCTTGTCTGCAGTTATCATCTTGTTAATCCATGTCAGTGGATTAATCTACTAATGAGGTTACAGCTATTGTAATCTAATCATTTTTTACCTCTGAAATTTCTTGCATTGTTTCAAAAATGAGCTTTTGGGGGACATAACATATTCAAACCATAATATAATAAACATAGTAGAAAAGGAGAGCTGATATTACTTAAGGGATCCCTTAACATTTAGATGCCTGCCACAGTATCGTGAGGGTTGATTCAATGTTAATAATTGTCTTTTCCAAAAGGAGACCTGTAGCATGAAAAATTTCCCTCAAAGCATTGTTGATAGTTGTGATGGAGCCCAACAGAATTTGTTTCCTATAGCAAAGATGCTCCTCATTTTGTCTAGTCTTTGTTTTCTTTAATGAGTTTTAGAAAGTTGTTTTTAAAGAAGGTGAACCATCTGAGCTGGAACGTCACTTCCTTTATATCTTGGTCAGGGGAAGTCTTGGAAATTGGTCCGTACAATAAAAAGGACTTTTGATTTCAGAGCTTGGTAAATTTTTACTTATTTTTGCAAAGTAACAAATACTGACAGACATTTAGCCCTCTGCCCAACATGCTTAGCATTCACTTATAGTGCAACGAAATCAGTCAGCCAATGTTCAAAGTGAAGGGCATTTAATAAATCTAGACAAAGAAGATTGTGCAAAGCCTTTATTCTTGGTTAATTTTCATGTTCATCTTTTCAGAAGGATGTCTTCTTTGTGCTTTTGAATAAAAACATGACTTGAGAGAACATCAAAATTCAAGGGAAATATTCAGATATCGGATAAAAGTTTTACTGGCAAGTCTCATTTTTTTAAGACAGCTGTGTAACCTTTAATTCACATGAACACTCACATATATTTTAAAACCTGCTTTCTCACCAAACTGACAGTTAGAATTTTATCTCTTCACTGTTAAAATTTCTCCAGAGAGTACAGTACTGCATCATTTTGACAAACCTGAATGTGAAGAGATGAATGGTCCTCATCCCCCAAACACTTCAGGGCAAGTTGCTTTAACCAGATACCTGTTTTCAGAGGTGATTTTTCTGTCATCAGTTTAAATCTATCAAAGTTCATTTAATTCTTTTAAAAGCCATATTTCATATAAAGTGGAGTTCTCTTCATAGTAGTGAGTACTTCTCTGTGATCCTGAGCCATTCTGACTACTACTATTCCCTGCAAGGGCTGCACATACTCACATGTAGCAAGAATACCTGGGAAGGAATGTCTGCACATTGCTGTTCTCCCCATGTTCTTCATATGCTTTGGAAATCCCTTTCCTGAGGTGCACAGATTCCTGCCAGGCCAGGAAAGAATGTCTTTATGTGGTAGTCAGCATTCAAAATATTTTGCTGAGGGGACATGGATGGTTATAGAGAAAAACCACAGGATATTAATTGAAAAGCAATTATTCTTTCAGTTGAACATCAGCTTTGGCAGTTTGAGAACAATTTTTAATTGCTAGTGCAAAAACTGTACCACTCAAAGAATCTAATGAGGGCTGGATGTGTAGCTTAGAAATAGAATGCTTGCCTATGTGCATAAGGCCCTGGGTTTGATCTCCAGCACCCACATTTCCCCCCCAAAGAAATTTGCTGTTCTAAAGTAGAGAAATGGTAAAGGAACCACAGTAAACTCACATTTAGTAGGGAATGTAGGCTAAAGATGGCCTAGTCCTTATTTTTATTTTATGAATTAAGAGTGGTTTCTGTAATTTTAAATGATTGAAACATATCAAGAAAGTAATATTACTATTACACTTGAAAACCATATGAACTTTCAGTTTCAGTGTTCATAATAAAATTTTATAAGATAATTCCAAGTGGTATTTTTTCTTTGCATATATTTTGTTTCTTTTCCTTGGTAGAAATGTACACTCCATGAAAGCAAAAATGTATTGACATTTATCTTATTTATGTGTTTAAATCCGGGTTCTAGAACACTAATGGAGAAAATGCTCAAGAAGCAATAAAGATCAGTTGAAGACTGATGCATTATGTGACTGTATAATGTATGTATGTGGTAATAACCACCACAGAATATATCTGGGGATGCATTTATGTTAGGCACCAGGCTAAAAGCTTTATGTATTCTTTTTTTTTAATGTTTTTCTTCTTATTTGATACATAAAATATACATATTAATAATAACCATGTAGTGTTTTGATATATTTGTACATGGCATAATGTTCAAATCAGGTAAAATGTATCTATCATATCTGCCATTGCACAGCTGGTTGACTATAGGTAACAATTATATACTTCAACAAGTTAGAAGAAAGAATTCTGAATGTTTCCACCATGAAGAAATGAAAAAAGTTAGAGGAGAGGATTTTAAATGCATGAACTCATTTAATTTCAACAAGTCAGTTATCAGCCCCATTTTACAAAAGAAAGGAGCAAGGGTTAGAGGGATTATATAACTCATCTGATGTGACAAATCTAAGTGACCATAATTCAAAAAGTCTGTTGGTTTCCAGAATTTGAGCTCCAATCATAAGCTATTCCTTTTTCTTAAATTTCTAAAAGCTTTTTACATATTCAGGTGAAAAAGAAAGGGATAGGAAAATACTGGAGGTAAATATACACATAACAGAACCAATTAATGGGTTGTAGATGGTTTTGGTTTTCTTAGCTGTACATTTTTATGTTTTTCCACATTTCCTAAAATGAGGGTATTTATGTTTAGTTACTTTTACAATAAAAACTGGATATTTCTAAAGGGAGAAAGAGCCAAGGCTTAAACTGTTTATGCAGAGCATTTCCTGTTCAGCTGAGGGTCTTGTGTGAATTGCTAAGGAAACTCTGTGGTCCTGTTTGTCCTGTGTATTGATCTGTGTTGTTGAAGTTCAGTATTGGGTTTCAATTCCTTTTGAGTACTTCCAAGCCCCTAGAATAGAAAGTACTTTTTGAGTATAACTTTGGCGGAAAGACACTGATGGAGCTTCTTGGTGTTTATTTATTTATCTATCAGTGCTGGGGATCACAGTAGGGTTAGAGAAGCATTTTTTTTTTTTCATTTCTAAACTGTATAAAGAATGAGAAGCCTTATTGAAGTCATCATAAACAAGAAAGACCATCATGGGGCACACTGAATAAATACTTTAGGCTTCAAACCAGTAATGTCATTCCCAAGGCCCTGTTTTAGCCAAATAAAGTCACAGAGATGGAGTTGAGAGGGCAGGGCTCTACCACTGTGTCCCAGCCCCCACCCTCACTCACTGGTTCTCATCTTCAGATACCCCAAGCACAAGTCTTGGAAAGCTGAGTTGTGTTTTCTATTCATATTTAGTTACAGTGATACAGACCTGTCTGCAACCACACGCTGGGCTGATTTCACCTGGAATTTATTCTTTCTCCCTTTTCACTGGCACAGTATTTGAGGTCCACGTATTTAACATGATTTTATATAAGAAAACAATTAGGTCCCAGAAGCTCTGAATCACTTAATAAGGTACAAAGACATAGAAAGGAGAAAAAGAATCTTATAAGTGAAATTCCCTAGTGATGGCTCATGTTTCTTTCTCTGTTTTCTCTTAATTGTGTGTCAGTGACTGTTGGCATATTTTGTGCAATTCAAGGGATGTTTCACATGCCCTGGCCTCAATTGCAAAGTGAAGGGAGAGCAAACTTCCTTTTAAATAAAGCTGGAATGTAGGTGATTAGAACGATTAAGTGAATGCAATTAAAATTATGGAGGGTAGTATGGCACCTAATGCAAGAATGGTTAGTGAACAAGACTGTTTCTTATAGATAAGAATGTCAGAATAAGGCCAAAAGGTGGTGAATTAAAAGTTTCCAGCAAACAATGAATGAAGTTATAGGTTGAGAACATCTGAGGCTATTTAAAAGGGCTTTTAAAAATTCCTGGGACATGTCTGGACATTCCAGCCACAATTTCAGACACCTCCATTGTTCAGACCTGTTAAGTATGCTTTTTCAGTTCTTTGTAACTCAGTTTTTTTTTCTTCCAAGAGCATCACACTGATTTTTGAGTTATAAGCAGAGCTGTTCAACTCCATCTCTTTGTGACTTTATTTAGCAGAAATGGGGCCTTGGGAATGATGTTATTGGCTTTAAGACTGAAGTGTTTGTTCAGTGTGCCCCATCATAGTCTTTCTTGTTTATGATGACTTCACTGGGGCTTATCATTCTTTATACAGTTTAGCCATGAAAGAGATTGCATCTCTTCTGTGAGGAGTGAGTGAGCCTGACACAATTTGACACATTTGAGAAAAAATCGTGAGTGGTTATATACATGAAGAAATGACATTTTAAAAAATATACTTTATGAGATTATGTGTGGATAAATGATCCATTACCCAGAGCACCGTCGGGCTTACACTATTTCTATCAGAAAAGAAAAGAAATAAATAAATAAACCTCTTGCTTCTTTTTTTTTTTTTTTCCTTCTCTGGAGATTATAGTGATTGGTGTGGACCATACAATTTCATTTGGAAATTTTTGACTTCTAAAAATTCTTTTTCTTCCTGACATCATAATGTGGCCTCAGAAAAATCAGACAGTTGTTATTACAAATAGAGAACAGCTCCACTCAGACATTGAATAGACAATTATAAATGTCTGGATTCTTTCCTTTTCTGTGGTGGCTGCTTTTAGATGTGGAATAAAACCACATTAGCCAGAGGACGTTGTTATTGGTGGTTAGTGACCTATTCCTGCCACATCTATAAAATATCTTGTTTAAAAAAATTTTTTTTTCATTGTCTAACAATAATTTTCCACTTTGTAAGATTTGTAACAGGAAGCATCATTGCGGTATAAAAAATATTGAAATTTTAGAAGACAAAGGGACCATAAAATATGATGAATCAATCTCTTGCATTGGACAGGTGAGAGAGTGAGGCAGTGTGAGTGAATATCCTGCCCTGAGGGCAACCACAGGGTCAATAACAGGATTCTGAAAGTTTATTTGTCCATCTGATTCCACAGATGGCCGTCCATGTCCTATCACTCTCTGGGACTCATCTTTATCTCCAGCAAGTAATGATACCCATTCTTCAGTCAAGCTCACCTGGGGAACTTATCAGCAGTTGCTGAAACAGAAATGCTGGCTGAATGGCCGGATACCCAAACCTGAATGGGGCTGCACTGAAATCCATCACCATGAGTGGTCTAAGATGGCGCTCTTTGATTTTTTGCTACAGGTAAGTTTATCAAGCCAGCAATTGGTTATCTAAGACTGACACTTAGTTATATAAGCCTGACCCTAAGAAATTTTCAGTGCCTGGAGATTTTATGAAGCCAGAACTTAAGTTCTATAATGCTGTATTTGGCGAGTGTAGTATGCCCATTATGAAATCTTACATTCTTTTGGGACCTAATCATAAATGTGCCTTGGTCTTTTCATGAGTTTGTGAAGAGGCAATTTACTGATCATCCTGCAATAGTCGTGCTCATCATAGCTACAATTTATAAGACTATAGGGAGTAGTCTTATCCATTTGGAAGGTGAGTAAACTGATGTTTGGTGCCATTCATTACCTCATCCAAGTTCTCTCAAGTACAGAAAGCTAGAGCTGGGATTCCCTGGGACCTGTTGGTGGTATCAGTTTATCTGCTTTCCATCATCCCACACTGTGTTTCAGCAGCCATCTAGCTTACAACCACCAATTCCCTTATTTTCTTTTCAGTATTATTTTTTGGAAATATTTTATTAGTATTTGACATTGGAAAATGATAAATGTTGACCATCTATGTAACTGGGTGACTCTTCACATATAATATGTTACTTGTAACTATTCTCTGTTTCAATGAAGATTTCATGACTCTCTCTCTACTCCCTCATTTTGATTACTGTCTTTCCATTCTCCCAGTTTTTAAAAACTGGTTTTTCTGTTGTTGTTCTGTTAATGAGTATCTCTGGAAATTTAGGACTGTAGGACATTTGCAAAACATTCTCCTTCTGATAGTTCCGTGTGTGTGTGTGTGTGTGTGTGTGTGTGTGTAAAAGGAAGGGATACAGAGGCCAAAACTTAGGAGAAAGCTAGCATAGTGCAGAGTCTAGGAAATAGGAACTGTGATGAAGGAGAGAAGGACCTCTGGAGTCAGTGTTGCAGAGTGACCCATGAGAAGTGAGCTGGGAAGCAGGTGAGGAGGCAGCCAGTGGTCACCAAATACTTCCCCCTTTAAGATCAATTGGAGACCAGGTTTTAAATATTTCACATGAATTATCTCATTTTTCTATTTTATTAACATATTAGCTCTGTGATCCAGTATCTTCTCTCCATTTACATGTAGAGAAACTGAGGCATAAGTTATTATCAAGAACTATGAAGAGTGGGGTTTTACTTGGTTTGCAGGTTAACAGCCTACCATAGCCTACCACAGTTTAATAGATGGTATCCTGTGTTGGAAATGCATGATTTATTACTCATGACACAGTGAGTGGTATGTGCCTTATGCTTTCCTTGCTCTTCTAGTTCCATGGGGGTGATGCAGAATGGTTGTGGTGAATGTTTCATATAACGTGTTTGTGTCAGTGATGAGGAATCTGAAGCAGAAATGCCACAGAGAGAAATACCTTTCAGTAGTTACCTAACTTGTTCTGTGTTATATAACCAGGAATTTCCTAAATAAGATCTCAGCAAGTCTAGCTAACTCTAGATTATGTATTCTTCACCTTCATTGCATAATAATTACTAAATTATCCTTGGGTTAATGAAACAAATTGGTATGATAAAATATAATAACAATAAAATGTGGTACAAATGAAGAGACTGAGGGTTAAGAAGGTAAACAAACTTACTTTGAGGTCAGATATTTGGGAAAGAAGTTAGCATAAATGTTACAGTTCCTGAAAATGATGACTGGAGGTATAAAGGAGAAGAAGTCTATGAATCAAGTAGCAAAGTCTATGGAAAGTAATGGCCTTGAAGTTTGAAACTGATGAACTAACCTATAATGAATAGATAGCAAACTCTGGTTGAAATACTTTAATGACATATGTTTTTATTCTGGGACCCTCAATTAAATCTACCCTACTGCCTTCATAATTCTCCTTTCTATCAGAGGAAATTATTACTAAACCAATAAAATATATTTATGCAATATTTACTATGCATAATAAGGGCCAGGGGTGTAGAACACCAAAGTCGAATATGATGATTATTCTCTCTACCACACTCCAGGTTTTAAAAAAAGTATTTAGTTGGGAAAATATAATATATGAAACAAATGATAGCTCCATTTAAGAATGATTGGCTGAATATAAGTTTTAATTGTCCTGAGGTCAAAAGGGGAAGAATACTTTGCCATCAAATAGCTAGTGAAGGAAGAGGAATTAGAGTAGGATCATAGGGCTCTCATAGATAGAATAGGGAAAGCAAGAGGGAGAATATAGGATTGGTGATGCCCATTTAGTATTTAAGACATTCTATATATAACATTTGAAGTGGAGAGTTGCTTTAGGGAGCAACAGTGCTTCCTGCCTCAAAAGCTTATGATGGAACATGAAGGAAGAGACCTATTTTCACAAGATGGGTGTTTACCTGGTCATTCTTCTGTTCATTACACGGCCTGTGCAGGAATAAATTCCAGGTAATCTCATGGATGGATATGGGCATGTGAAATCACTATGATGAATTTTTAACAAAGAAAAATATTTCAAATCCCTTGAAATAATACTTTTAATAATCTAATATTCATAGAAAGTTTGCTATGTGCCAGGCACTCTCATAGGCACTTAGATTCATATATGATCCTTCTATCCACCCTATGATATTAGTACTATCATTGTTAATATTGTAAAGTTGTAGAACCTGAGGCAAAAAAGAAATAGGTAATCTGATCAGGGTTACACAAGTAATATGCAGTAGTGGTAGAACTTTGGCTTAAGAAACAAACTCCCTTGTGCATGTATGAATATGTAAAAATGAATCCTACTATTATGTGTAATTATAATGCACCAGTAAAAAAAAAATTAAAAGAAAAACTAAAACAAAACAAGAATCAAGCTCCCAAGCAATGCTGCCCTCTGTTCATTACATGGGGGAATAATAACTTCATAATTGAATTTTCCAAGTCAAAAAATTTGGAATCATATAGGTAGTCCTGTAATACCCCCTCATCTATTTGGTGACCAAAATCTTGATATCTCTTACCTCCACCTTCTTTTGTTGTGGGGCAGGTCACTCAGAAAACACACCAAGTCCCAGTCTTTATTTAGCCTGCCAGCTGGTGACTGCCCCCTACAGGACCCATAACTGTCTCTGCAAGGAATGGCCCAGAGCCTGAGCATTTTAGGATATTTACAGGCAAAAACCACACCTGGGTTGACGTAGCTGCAAGCAAACAGGTACAGAAACTGAATTGGGCAGTTAGCGAGACAATACAGTGGGTACATTGGTATTTCCCATGGGACTTTCCAGGTTGGCATAGCAGCAAGCAAGCAGAAGAGAAGTGGGTTAAAATGACCCTAGTTCAGTACAAGTTAGAGAATGATTACTAACATCTAGACAATCAATCTCTGACAAGGTACATTGCCCAAGAAAAATGGAAACCAAAGAGAACAATTTTACATTGTATAAGAATTGCTATTTTGTGTTGCCAAGTATGTTATGCTAGGTAACTATTAAGGGATACAGAGGTGGGGCTTTCCCAAGGGAGAAACATTTCTTACATGATATGGAGTCTCAGGGTAAAATGGAGTCTGTTTGGTCATTGCCCATATAGCCTGGCCCATAAAACTTTTAGGAATAGATATGCTCCTGTCTTATTTTATGTGTTGCCCTTTCTTACCTGGATGACTCCCTACAATTCACTCAAACTGGGAGCATTTTCTAATTCCATGAGTAAGGTATGAAAGTGCCTGTTTCCTTCTTTTTTTTGCCAACTCAGGGAAGTGGAAGGAAAATTAATGTTTTTGTTAATCTTATGGACCAGGGGTTTGAGGCTTGTTTATAAACTTTTAGTTTTTCATGTTGAGTGAGATTGAGAATATCATTTTTCAAATACGTATTTTGTTTTCAGTGAACTGTTTGTTCAAACCATTGCCATTTTTATTTCATTTTGTAACTTTTTCTTATTGTTTAACAAAAAGGTTTTATATCTTATGAAAATCAGCCTTGATCAGTCCTATAGGTCTGCAGTAGTCTGCTTTTTGTCACTATAACAAATACTTGAAAAAAATCAACTTATGAAGAGATAAAGTTGATTTTGGCTGACTGTTTTACAGATTCCAGTCTACGATTGATGGGCCCTGTTGCGTTGGGCCTTTAGTGAGCCAGCACATTATGAGAGAAATGAGTGGTAGAACTTGTCTCATGGCTAAGAAGTTAAAGAGAAAGAGGAAGAGCCTGGGATACCATAATCCCTTTGGGTTCACATACCCAGTGACTTGAAGACCTCCCACTAGGCCCCACTTTTTAAAGGTTCTACCATCTCCAAGTAGCACTACCCTGGGGACCAAGACTTTAAAAATATGGGCCTTTAGCTGGTATTCCAGATCCAAACTCTAGTGATTCCCCAGAATAATTTTTCTTAATTTGTTGTTTATCTTTTGACTCATAGATTTTACTCCAAGGTGTTGCACTATTATATAAGATCACATCTTATTTGTATTTGTTTTGCCTCTGTATTTAGCATTATAAAATGTTCATAGAAATATACTAATTGAAAAACTTTATTGGACAAATGAGTGCATCAACAAATAGGTCATTTTTCATGGTTTCATGGTACATAGTTATTATTTTTTTACAAAATACTCTGTCTCATCACTGACACTGAAAAATTTTATTTGAATGTCAAAATATATGCTTTTTTCAATGATATTCAGGAATGTATTGGATGGATTTTGTGAACAATCCCCAAAGCAAAGTAAAATCACTTCCTCTGTGATACTCGCAAGGGCTGGGGAATACAGAACCCAGTTGTTACTTTTCTGTATACAGCATTCTTTTTGTTTCACCCAATTAATGAATCTACATTCACAAAGGCTATGCATGCCATTTACTGGCTCTGTAAAATGTGAGAGACAAGTAGTCTTTTATTCTTGAAGCTTGGGGGGTATAAACTGCATAGACTAAAATTCTCCACTGTTAGGAAGACAAACAGAAGGATTCTAGAGAATGTTTGAATTTCTAAGATTTGGTCAAATTTCTCAAGATTATATAAATTGACAGGAACAAATTTGAGATGAAGACGATTGT